CCCCAAAACCCCAAAACCCCAAAACCCCAAAACCCCAAAACCCCGGATTAGCAACAAATACTGTAATTTAATTCTCTAACGGAATTTAATGGAGGAGTTAATCGCAGACAAGTACAAAGTCATGAAGAAATTGGGAAGTGGCTCATTTGGTGAGATCCACCTTGTTGTTGATACTGAGACTGGCCTGGAATACGCTGTCAAGTTAGAAAGCGCAAAGACAAAAATGCCCCAGCTTTTGTATGAGGTGAAGTTATATAAGGTCCTTTCGGGAGGCACTGGGGTCCCTGATGTCCACTGGTATGGGCTCAGTGGCGATCATAATTGTATGATCATGGATCTTTTGGGAAGAGATTTAGAAGATCAGTTCGAATACTGCAAGCATAAATTCACTTTACAGACTGTTTGCATGTTGGCAGAACAAATGTTACATCGTATTGAGTACCTCCACTCAAGAAGTTTCATTCACAGAGATATCAAACCAGAAAACTTCTTGTTCGGCATTGGTAAGAAGAGGCATACTCTACATCTCATTGACTTTGGTCTTGGAAAAATGTACAGAAATATTAAAACAGGAGAGCATGTTGAGATGACTACAGAGAGAAGCTTAATTGGAACCGCTAGATATGCATCTATCAATGCACATCTAGGCTATGAGCAAAGCCGGAGGGATGACATGTGCTCGATAGGATATTGCCTTGTGTACTTCCTTAAAGGAACCCTTCCTTGGGTTGGAATCAAGGCAAAGACAAAGAAGGACAAATATGACCTTATCCAAGATAAGAAGTTGGCTACCAGTGTGGAAGAGCTTTGAGAAGGAGCTCCAAAGCAATTTGAGAAGTACATCACTTACTGACAAAGCCTAAAATTTGAAGACAAGCCTGATTACTCCTTCTGAAGGAGGTTTTTTAGAGAAGTTATGAAGCAGAATAAATATAGAAATGACCCAGAGCGTTTTGATTGGGTAAGTTCCCACTGAAATTTCAGCATAATCACTAAAATTAGGTAGTCAGAAAGAATGCACTCAAGAAGATGCAAAGCAAAAAGGCTAATCAGGAGAACAATAAGGTCCCAAAGTCTCCAACTAATGATACCAGTGCTTTATCAAAGAAAGCATTAGGCAAGAACTCCAAAGAAAATAAGATCCAGAGGTATGGACTCTTATGAACATTATAGCACTATTAAAAAGCGAGTTGTGCATAAGAAGCAGAAGTCTTGTGGTTCTCCAGAGGCAATTGCCTCGATTAATACCTCAAAAATGTTGAAAACCTTGAATTCCAATGCCTTAGGAGGACTTTTAAGTACTAGAAATTTAAAAACTTCAAGCATGCTTAAGAAGAACTCTAACATAAGAAGCAGAATGAAATCAAGTACAGAATGTACATCATCTATAGGCATTTCTTCAAATATGATAGCAGGGTTGAAAACAATGGTTTCTAATAACAGCAACAAAAAGTCAATGTTAGGAGCTAAGACAAAGAATTTAGCTAGGTTAAGGAAGATCAATGAGAACAATAGGAAAGAACTACTGACTAGATTATAAGCCTTTATTTTGCAATCAATTGGAATATTTGAAATTGGGGTTTTGGGGTTTTGGGGTTTTGGGGTTTTGGGG